GTGAGGAGTCAGCCCAGAACTACACGGGAGGATCTTGTCAGTGATCTCAAGGCAGCTGGGACCATAGTCACCAAGAAAACAATTGGTAACACACTACGCCGTGAAGGACTGAAATCCTGCAGCGCCCGCAAGGTCCCCCTGCTCAAGAAAGCACATATACAGGGCCGTCTGAAGTTTGCCAATGAACATCTGAATGATTCAGAGGAGAACTGGGTGAAAGTGTTGTGGTCAGATGAAACCAAAATCGAGCTCTTTGGCATCAACTCAACTCGCTGTGTTTGGAGGAGGAGGAATGCTGCCTATGACCCCAAGAACACCATCCCCACCGTCAAACATGGAGGTGGAAACATTATGCTTTGGGGGTGTTTTTCTGCTAAGGGGACAGGACAACTTCACCGCATCAAAGGGACGATGGACAGGGCCATGTACCGTAAAATCTTGGGTGAGAACCTCCTTCCCTCAGCCAGGGCATTGAAAATGGGTCGTGGATGGGTATTCCAGTATGACAATGACCCAAAACACACAGCCAAGGCAACAAAGGAGTGGCTCAAGAAGAAGCACATTAAGGTCCTGGAGTGGCCTAGCCAGTCTCCAGACCTTAATCCCATAGAAAATCTGTGGAGGGAGCTGAAGGTTCGAGTTGCCAAACGTCAGCCTCGAAAACCTTAATGACTTGGAGAAGATCTGCAAAGAGGAGTGGAACAAAATCCCTCCTGAGATGTGTGCAAACCTGGTGGCCAACTACAAGAAACGTCTGACCTCTGTGATTGCCAACAAGGGTTTTGCCACCAAGTACTAAGTCATGTTTTGCAGAGGGGTCAAATACTTACTTCACTCATTAAAATGCAAATCAATTTATAACATTTTTGACATGCGTTTTTCTGGATTTTTTTGTTGTTATTCTGTCTCTCACTGTTCAAATAAACCTACCATTAAAATTATAGACTGATCATGTATTTGTCAGTGGGCAAACGTACAAAATCAGCAGGGGATCAAATACTTCTTTCCCTCACTGTATGTGGAATGTTAGAGCCAGGACACAGCAGCATTCTGGTCATATGTTGAATTTTAGAGACAGGACACAGCAGCACCTTTGCATTCAGTGTCTTTCAATAAGAGTCAAGCAAAAAAAGAAAAACCTGTCAAAAGCATCAAGTACAAAAGGCAACATGCAAATTAGCCTGCAACAGATTTAAAGGATGACATGCTCAAATGGTACAGTAATTTGTCATAGGCTAGTTGTCGTGAATCCTTTTGAAATACTTTGTGTAGCCAGATCAACTCTAGTCACTGTTAACGCACCACTAACTTATGATGACTGAGCTTTGGTCCACTTGAGTCCATTCCTGACACCATGGCCTTTTCTCAATTGCATAGTCCTCGCTCCTCGTCTCCTTCTCAAAACCAATTGGGTGAGAAAGCCAGAGGTCCCTCCCCTCTGACCTTTCCCTAATGGGTTTTGAGAATGAGGCGAGGAGAGAGGACTATGCAATTGAGAAAAGGCCCATGCACTTAGTAATTAGGGCATATTGCTTTGAAAGGTCAACAAGCCCCTCCCAGTGTGCGTTTGGCGCTTTGTGTGTAGGCCTATGGCTTTTACAGCATAGTTTGTTGAAATGTAATTTCTGTATTCCGAAATTATCCCTGTACAGAAAATACTAGTAGGCCTATTCATATGCCTAACTTATTTCTCGTGATCCTAATTAGTAAAATCCTGAAGCTTAAATTGGCTAATCGATATGTAAGAGGAAGCATAGTAAATGTAGTAGGCTACGACATTCCCGAGTGGCGTTGACAATAGAGAACTGTTACCTCACCTGTTGGGACCCCACCGCGCCGTACCCCGAGCCGGTCCATTTGGCTCTGTGCTCTGTAAATCTTGTCCACACCCGTTTTCGTTTACCATTCTCGCCATGTTCCACTCTTGGTTCAACCGCTTTCCACAGTCAGGAAACCAACAAATGCAGAAACTACTCAGCACAAGAAACTCGTCTTTACGAAAGATAGGGCGCGCTCTTTTTGCAAGCCTCGTGCTTCTGGCAAAGGTGTACGCCGCGGTGCTCATGAATTTGAGATCTAGCTCGGCCTGCTCTGGTAAGAATCGGGCTATTCCGTGGTGCAAATCATGCGCGCTTTTTATTCTGCCATAAAACGACATTGCTTTTCTAACCCTATCACATTGCGCTTGCAATCTAAAGCAGCCAATTGTTGAGTCGTACATAGTTCCATAACCACACGAATAACCAATTAGGTAGTGAGGAGAACGAAGGCATTTCCTGACCCCACCTATGAGTGGCCAATCAGAGCATTTGGGTTTGACCGTTTAGGAACGTCGGACAGTTTTTGTTCCATGTTCTATCTACCTGGTAATGGTAGGCAAACATTACGCTCAATTAGAAGAGATAGGCCTTTAATTTAAAGGCATGTCACAGATGTTGAAATTACGATTATGGTTAGGGAAAAACACTATGGTTGTATACTTTTTACAATTTCATTATTTCATGTAATTCTCACTGAACTGTGTTAGGCCTATTTGAGATCATAAATGAAACCATTATCACAATAGATAATTTTGGGGGAAACTACTGGGGTGAGTGACCAAAAAAATTAATAAATCACAAGCAACGTAAGCTTTACAAACCCTAGTAGGCGGAGATCAAGTGAAGTTTAGTCATGAGTGAATTGTTGTTTACAATACCCATAGATGGCAGTGTAGACTAATTATCATTTTACACTCTGCCCTAAATGTGTGATTTCATAAAATCATAAAATCGTTTCTACAAATTGTTTCAAATCTACAGTTGCAAAAACTTTATCTGTGAGTAAGGCCATATGTGGCCTATTCCTAAATGCAGACAGCCATATACATTTTTAGATGCACATGGTCAATTACAAGAGCTTGTCACTTTAAATAAGTTTAAAGCTAAGTTAAACACTATGACCTGGGGGGCTGTCAAGGTTTTGACCCCTAGTTTCAACACACATTCACAATGTGTAAATTTATGTTTTTTAAACTGTAGTGCTATGTTGTAAATGTGTCTGCAACTTTGTGTGCTGCTATTTTGGCCAGGTCTCAATGAGACTAACCTGGTAACATAAAGGTAAAATAAAAATAGGTACTACATCTTCCTTGTCATGGAGAGCATTGTGGAATTAAATGTAATTAAAACTTTCTATGACAGATCCTCACATCCCTCCTCTGATCCTGTTACCCATGTAGGCCACAATGTAGTGTCTTTAGAATATAATAGAATGCCCTCAATGCCTTTACAGTTTATATAATAGAATGCACTCAATGCCATTACATATTATAATTAGGCTATTACTACAGCAGACCTGGGTTCAAATACTATTCAGGGTATTTCAATTACTTTCAAAGACATTTCGAAGTATACTGAACAAAAATATAAACTCAACATGCAACAATTTCAATGATTTTACTGAGTTGCAGTTCATATAAGGAAATCAGTCAATTGAAATAAATTCATTAGGCCCTAATCTATGGATTTCACATGACTGGGCAGGGGTGCAGTCATGGGTGGGCCTGGGAGGTCATAGGCCCACCCACTTGGGAGCCAGGCTCACCACTGGAGAGCCAGGCCCAGCCAATCAGACCGAGTTTTTCCCCACAAAAGGGCTTTATTACAGATAGAAATACTCCTCATTTTCATCAGCTGTCAGGGTTGCTGGTCTCAGACGATCCCGCAGGTGAAGAAGCCGGATGTGGAGGTCCTGGGCTGGCGTGGTTACACGTGGTCTGCGGTTGTGAGGCCAGTTGGACGTACTGCCAAATTCTCTAAAATGATGTTGGAGGAGGCTTATGGTAGAGAAATGAACATTAAATTCTCTGGCAACCGCTCTGGTGGACATTTTAGGAAAATAGTTTCAAAAAGTAGGCTTTTTATAGGAAATTATTTGATTCGGCCACATTTTTTGAAAAATACTAAAATACACAGCAAATAAATATTTCAAATACAAATACTCAAATATACATATATTTGAACCGAGCTCTGTAGGCTATTACTTTAGGCCTATTCTACTAGTATAGGCTAGTTGTGAACTTCTGCCTTTCAAAGGTCCACCTCTTAAAATTAAAATTCAGAGCATAGAGGGCTTGGCCAAAAGTGGCCAAAGGTGTGCTTCCTTATGATACTGAATGGTCAGGTAGCGCAGCCTGGTCACATAGACTAAACGTAACATAGTAAACGTAAATCCGGAACACTCAAATTAGTACGGTATGTTACATTTGTTATGGTTACATAAAACAGAAGGTTACTTAAGGGGGGGTGCTGGAAAAAAAGGTTTTGCCCGTGATGGAAATGGCTAGATCAGTCTGCTAATATGTGAAAAACATTTTGGTATTAATATTTGTTTTCTTCCGATTCTTCAGTGGGTGCTGCAGCACGCTCAGCACCTCTACTTCCCGCTGCCATGATCATGTCTATGCTAATATGGAAATAATTTGTTAGCTAGCCTAGCAAACCAACATCTGTAACTATGTATTTGAGAGACAAGTGCTCATTGTGCAAATGTACTTATGTTTTCAATAAACATTTGGAGACAAAATATAGTTTACATGTTGTCAACAGTCTACTCCAACCTCCTCTGTTTTGCCCCATAGTTGTGGAGACATCAGTTTTGTTGCTAAACAACCAACCAGTCTACGAAATCAAGTGGGAACAGGTTATGGGTAGATAGAGCAGGACTTATCACACTAGCTCCACCCATTCGGGTTTCACAGTATCCTATATATAAACCGTTCCTAGACTCTCACTGCTGCAATACACATCAACTTTACTCGTCACGGAGGTGACATTTACAACGACTTGCTGCTGAGTTCAAGTTTCTTGTTTTCTTCAATAACTGAATATTGTCACATTGACATTTAGTCGTGTGCCAAGATACTTGAGTGTTTTCAGCCAGCATTACGCGCGTAGCCAATACCTCGGGCGTCTGCCCCAGATTTCAATGTTCCCGCAATTCGGCGGGTGTTAAGATCCATGGAAGTGGCCGGCTTCTACGACGGGGATTGCTTTGCTTTCCAGAGTAGAAACAGCATTATCAGTCCCATTTGCGACAACAGCACTTGCAAGCAGCGCATTGACGGCTCAATGACGGAGCTTGGCATAGCCGAGCACGAGAAAGCGATTGATTTCAGCGACTACTTGGATCCAGCTGCTGCGCACTGTCAACAACTGGCAACACATAACGAAACTCAGCAGAGAGGGGGAGGCGTATTCGCTAGTTTCCTTGCCGAGGAAAGCAGGATAAAGAGACTTTCATCATTACAGCAAAACTACAGAAACTACATCTCTCTCAACGAGCGTGAGACGAGTGCGCACGCCAACCCAAGGGAGCCATACGTCCTGGGTTATCCTGAACTGCAGGAGACCCGTGTGGACACCGTGTTCAGCCCCGAGTTTCTTGGGAACCACTTTAAAACCGGTGAAAGAGACGAGCTTCAAGAGGACCGAAAAATGGACAACAACGGTTCATCTGGCTATGACATGAGGTATCTTCATTACCAGTCGACTCCAAGTGGCAGCCTTGGTAACATTTCCACTGCGTCCTCTTCTTCCTCAAGTCCACCGGCCACACCTGCCACGCCAGGTAAAGGCAGGTCGCCTTTGCAGGGCGAGAAAATGTCATCTGGTGGCAAGGGGAAGAAGCGACTGGAAAAGGACAGTGAGGAATATAGGCAGCGGCGGGAGAGAAACAACCTTGCGGTTAGAAAGAGCAGGGATAAAGCCAAAATGCGCAATACGGAGACGCAACACAAAGTGCTGGAACTGGCCGCAGAGAATGACCGTTTACAAAAACGCGTGGAGCAGCTGTCAAGAGAGCTTGCCACCCTGCGTAACTTGCTCTCTGCCACCGGTCAGTGTTAGCCACAGAGTGCCCACACACCTCTCACTGGAAAACGGTACTTGATCAGGCACGGACTTAAAAACCCATTTATCGCGGTGGCATACATGTGAAAAAGTTATTCCAAGATGTTACGTTTGTGTACAGTATCTATAGATGGAAAATCCACCAACAGTTTACAAGTTGTGATTGAGTACAGAAGGTGCAATGAATGTGCAACTAATCATGATTCTTGACATGTCGCCTTCATTCTGTCTTTACAATTTTGTGTATGCAGTATTTCTGTAGGGTTTTGCATTTTATATTGAATATGGGTAAATATTCTGTTATTTAAAAATGTCCTTTCCTTATCTGGAGCAATGGTTGTCAAGAGAAGAGTTGTAGCCCACTGCAGAGGTATGATGCAACTCTTTGCAACAGTATTGGCAATGAATGAAGTAATCTCTTAATATGATGAAAATGTACAAATGGTACTTGATATTTTATTGAATTAAACAATTTATACTTTGATATTATTCATTTGTATGTTGTTTATTTGTGAGATGGTAAAAAGGGGGTAGATCACCTGACTGGTTTATTCCTCTCTCTCTTTCACACACAGAATGAAATAGAACATGTATGTATCTCTTCACTCACGTATATGTGTAAGAATTCAAGGTATAAATAACTAAAGAAATACAATTATCATAGGTGTACATAAGCTCAAACTTAAAGGTCCAATGGAGTTTATGTCAATATCAAATCAGTTCTGGGTAACAGTTAAGGACCATACTGTGATCGTTTTCAATTAAAATGGTCAAAAAGAAACAAAAATAGCTTCTTAGCAAATGGCAATTTCTCAAGCAAGAATTTTACTACAACTGTCTGGGAGTGGTCAGAGTGGGGAGGGGAAAACGAAAAACTAGCTGTTATTTGCAGAGTGGTTTGGAACTCTCTTATTGGTCTATTAACTAATTTATAGCCTGGTGATGTCACCAGGCAGGCCAAAACTCCATCCCACCACTATTTCCCAGTATTATTTTAACCTCATAGTGTGGAAATATATATAAAACACAGGAAAATCAGGTTACATTTAGGCCTATCTCTTATTTTAGACCCATGGGCAACTGATTTGGAATATGATGACTAATTTGCATTTAATGATAGTTATTAAAAATGATAAGTTATGATATTGTGTGATTTGGAATATGATTTGAAATATGATTATGATTTGGAATATGATGACACATTTTCATCTAATGATAGTTATTCAAAATGATAAGTTATAATATTGAGAACCTAAAATACCAGTATTACTACATTTTTTACATTTTAGTCATTTAGCAGACGCTCTTATCCAGAGCGACTTACAGGAGCAATTAGGGTTAAGTGCCTTGTTTAAGGGCACATCGACAGATTTTTCACCTAGTCGGCTCGGGGATTAGAACCAGCGACCTTTCAGTTACTGGCACAACGCTCTTACCCACTAAGCTACCTGCCGCCCTGAATCACACTACAGTGTGATTCAGTAAAACAAATAATATTTCAACAGCAGTGTATTGGTGAAAGAAGACATACTAACTGAGCCTTTTTTACCCAACTAGCAAATGTCACCATTATCTTAAGCACACACCTCAGTCAATAGTCTGGTGGGTCCACTGACCCACAGAGGGGTTCAAGGCCTCACAGGCCAAGATTAATCAGCAACTAACCTTTTGCCCAAACACACCACCACAGTCCTGCAAACAGTTTTTGTTTTTTAAACGTGTATAACCTGCCAGCCTCAAATATGAAGTGGCATACTTTAGTATTTAGCCTATGAGATGTGCTGAAGAGAAGAGTGATTTTGGATGTGGAACAGATTCTCTTTGATTACCTATCATCCAACGAAGGTCCAGTTTGTTCAGTAAGTTTGACAAAATAGCTTCCAACACTCAACTCAGCAAATTGGATCTAGTCTATCACAGTGCCATCGGTTTTGTCACCAAAGCCCCATATACTACCCACCATTGTGACCTGTACGCTCTCGTTGGCTGGCCCTCACTACATATTCGTCGCCAAACCCACTGGCTCCAGGTCATCTATAAATCACTTCTAGGCAAATCCCTGCCTTATCTTAGCTCATTGGTCACTATAGCAACACCCACCCGTAGTATGCGCTCCAGCAGGTATATCTCACTGGTCATCCCCAAAGCCAACACCTCCTTTGGCCGCCATTCCTTCCAGTTCTCTGCTGCAAATTACTGGAACGAACTACAAAAATCTCTGAAGCTGGAGACACTTAACTCCCTCATTAACTTTAAGCATCAGTTGTCAGAGCAGCTTACCGATCACTGTACCTGTACACAGCCCATCTGTAATTAGCCCACCCAGCTACCTCATCCCCATATTGTTATTTACATTGTTATTTATTTTGCTAATTTGCACCCTAGTATCTCTATTTGCACATCATCTTCTGCACATCTATCACTCCAGTGTTAATACTAAATTGTAATTATTTTGCCCTATGGCCTATTTATTGCCTTACCTCCATAAAATTACTACATTTGCACACACTGTATATAGATTCTATTTTCTATTGTGTTATTGACTGTACGTTTTGTTTATTCCATATGTAACTCTGTGGGTTTTTTTTTATCGCACTGCTTTGCTTTATCTTGGCCAGGTCGCAGTTGTAAATGAGAACTTGTTCTCAACTGGCTTACCTGGTTAAATAAAGGTAACTGGTCAAGTATACCAAGTTGCTACCATTTCTACACATGAATGCAAGGCAGTGGAAATGACTGAATATACTATTAAACTTGCCCATCAAGAGTTACCCTGATAATAGGACAGGAGAGAACCAGCACCCAATAGCTCCAAGTACATTTTGACAATGTTATCCTTTCTTGTAACACATAAAAGATACAAGAAAGGATGAAAAATACAATGTTTTGAACATAGTGAATTTCACAACACAACTTCCCATAATGGAAACAGAGTATATTGCTCAACGACATCTTCCTGTTCCATCCGTGAATTCAAATGTCACACCCAATAAAAACAATGCTCTACGCACTTACAAGACAAATCTAGCAATAGGTTGAAATAGGGATAGTTCACCCAAATTATATTGTACAAATCAAATCTTCTTTGCCACATGCGCCGAATACAACAGGTGAATACCTTACAGTGAAATGCTTACTTACAAGCCCTTAACCAACAATGCAGTTTCTAAGAAAAAAAAAAAAAGTGTTAAGTAAAAAATAGATAAGTAAAAAATAAAAATAGCAAATAATTAAAGTGCAAATAGTCCGTGTAGCCATGATTAGCTGTTCAGGAGTCTTATGGCTTGGGGGTAAAGGCTGTTAAGAAGCCTTTTGGACCTAGACTTGGCGCTCCGGTACCGCTTGCCGTGCGGTAGCAGAGAGAACAGTCTATGACTAGGGTGGCTGGAGTCTTTGACAATTTTTAGGGCCTTCCTCTGACACCGCCTGGTATAGAGGTCCTGGATGGCAGGAAGCTTGGCCCCAGTGATGTACTGGGCCGTACGCACTACCCTCTGTAGTGCCTTGCGGTCGGAGGCTGAGCAGTTGCCATACCAGGCGGTGATGCAACCAGTCAGGATGCTCTCTATTTGATTGTTTCCTAAAAAGTAGTGTATACTGTATTATCTTGGTTGTGTTTGTTAATAATGAGAGTAGTGCTGGACCTCTGTTGGCATGCTCTGTATAACAGACCAAAATCACAAACAAGCTGTTTCAAATCAAGCTGTGTAGCAGCATGATACACTTCCCAGTATACACTGTGATGTTGTTTTTGTTTTTGTTGTTATTGATGTTTTGTTGTTTTTTATGTTGTTGTTGGAAATGGTGAGAGTTTTACCGTCAGTGTAAATGAACCTCTGTTCTTTATGCTCCACATTCAACAGTAAAAACCTTAAATGTAAGCTGAACTTTCTCTTTAGGAACAATACTTTTTTTTCATTTCAGGCTAGAAAATACCTTGTTGAAGCCAAATACTATCAAACTTGCCCATCAAGAGTTACCCTGATAATAGGACAGGAGAGAACCCTTTTTTTTGCCTTTATTGGACTATGGTGATATTCTGTACATGAATGCCCCGGGGTCTTACCTGCACACACTAGACCAGTTGTTCCCAAACTGTGGCATAAGGGGTCGGCAGGTAGGGTGCAGAGAGGTAGGAGGAGAACTCAGTTGGGGTTTCAACTTATTCTTGAAAGTTGTAATAGTAGAATGCACAAGGTGCAATTTCGAAGTTGGTAGTGCATTAGCAGTTTTCCTCTTGTCATGTCAGTCAATGCAGACCTTGGAGAGCTATTTATGTCCAGTTGATCAACTAGCCCATGTCAGCTAATGTTTTTTTAGCCAATTGATTTTGTTTTAATGTTTGAGTCACTCAGATATCACATGAACACACATAAGACATGGCAAAATGTGTAGAATTGCTGGAAATTAGCTTTAAAATGGCAAAGTGTTCTCTCCACCCTGTGGCAAAATGTGTAGAATCGTAGGAAATAAGCTTTAAAACCGGAAAAAAAATATCCACCCCATGGCAAAATGTGTAGAATCGCAGGAAATAAGGTTTAAAACAGCAAAAAAAAATCTCCGCCCCATGGCAAAATGTGTAAAATCGCAGGAAATAAGCTTTAAACCTGCAAAAAACATTATCCACCAACAAGAGGAGTGTGAGCAGTTTTTGACATGGACAGTGCTTGTGCCCATAGAATAAATAGACATGCAGGGGGGATATGAGTGAAAAGGGGTATGAGTGAAAAGGTTTGGGAACACTGCACTAGACACACTTTACCATGCTGCTCTAAGATTTCTAACCAACAAAAGACCTCTTACACATCACTGTATCTTCTATCAGTTAGCAGGATGGCCATCCTTAACTATAAGGCGACAAACTCACTGGTACATGTTTAAAATTGTCAATGACTCCAGACACCCAAGTCATAGACTGTTTTCTCTGACCCCCTTATTTTATTATTATTATCATGTTTTGCACTGACTCTCTTGCACAGGATCGACGTACACTCACT